GGATAATAACTTCCTTTCACGTATGAGCCTGAGATATGTCTATGAAATCACAATATTATATCAGTTAAATCTCGCCCCGAAACCAAGGCGTCTTGAAACCAATAGCAACATAGAGACAAACGTCACTGAGGGGATATGAAATAAAGTCGGTCGATTCTATACACTCGTTATGTGCTTCTCATGACTTCAATTATTCAGCTATCTTCTGACATTTATGCAGTGCTTGGGCAAAAGAGGGTGATATTATGTCAGTTTTCATTCAGTCTATGCCGCTCGTTCAGCTGTTTCTCCGTCTCACGCTGCTATGAAGTGTTTCATATGGTTTTGAGAATTTATTACATTGTAGTGTTTAATTGTATTTCTTTGAGCAATAATAATAGGTGATATCTCACAACTTAGATGAGGTATTTATTTAAACCGCGTAGCGATTGTGTGATTTTTACAATACTACACTTCGTTTGCACTACCGATAGGCGAAATATTCAAATTTAGATACTTCGGCGTATCCAATCGAAGGTCATCGAAGACTTTCAATACTGTTCATTAATCAGTTATGCTCTTTCTCAAAAACAGTTTGTTATTTTAAGAACCCACTTCACTTCTACACTCAAACGCAATATTCTGCTCCTCTTGACTTTAATCAGCTGTAATTCAAGTTGTTGAATATCGGCATTTGTCAAAGATTCGTCGTCTGAGTCTGTTTGACGAAACTGGAAGATTGTTTTACAATATCTTTTATGCTGGAATACCTCTGCTGTTCATTTTCCTGTATTTGTCGGTGAATTGCAACTTAACTATTGTCAATTCAAAGCCTAATTCCAAATGCAAAATACTTTTGACCTCCTGTAGACAGTGCGTGCAGTGATTACATAAATCATTTATATTCCGTATGAACAGGCAAGTTTACATGAAACACGTGACATCTACAGATGCACGACCACTAATGCTATAGGCAATGGATAGCGATGCACATGGTTTGTGGAGAGGCTGAACATTTGAAAATCACTTGTGCATACTCTGAATGGTAGATTTTGATTTGCGTAAGCTTTGTGGCTAATACGTAGTGCACGTTACCAATGCGAGCTTTGAAGCAATAATAATAATAAAATAAGATGGAAATTAAATTTTACAGCTTAAGGGGACAAATAAATATATGTGTAAATTTCACAGTGGTGATATACATCGAATCCACTTACCAAAAGAATATTATTGGGTATCTTATTCAAAGAGGGATAAAGTTTGAAGATTCAGTCTTTTTCAGTTGGTTGTAACGGTTGGATAATGGAAGCAATTGTGTAATAATTTCCCTTTTTGCAGAAGAGAAACTGTTAAAGATAAATTCGAAGTTCCAAGATTCTTCTAATCTGTCATGGAATATATAGACGACTAATCTAT